TACATAATACCTCATATCAGAAATATAGACAGATACTGAAAGGCCGAAACGTTGTAATAAATATGGCAACAAAGATGAGGACAATAGTCCGAATAATGTAAATAGTGTACATAATACCTCATCTGAGAAATATAGACAGATACAGAAAGGCCGAAACGTTGTAATAAATATGGCAACAAAGATGAGGACAATAGTCCGAATAATGTAAATAGTGTACATAATACCTCATCTGAGAAATATAGACAGATACAGAAAGGCCGAAACGTTGTAATAAATATGGCAACAAAGATGAGGACAATAGTCCGAATAATGTAAATAGTGTATATAATACCTCATCTGAGAAATATAGACAGATACAGAAAGGCCGAAACGTTGTAATAAATATGGCAACAAAGATGAGGACAATAGTCCGAATAATGTAAATAGTGTACATAATACCTCATCTGAGAAATATAGACAGATACAGAAAGGCCGAAACGTTGTAATAAATATGGCAACAAAGATGAGGACAATAGTCCGAATAATGTAAATAGTGTACATAATACCTCATCTGAGAAATATAGACAGATACTGAAAGGCCCAAACGTTGTAATAAATATGGCGACAGAGATGAGGACAATAGTCCGAATAATGTAAATAGTGTACATAATACCTCATCTGAGAAATATAGACAGATACTGAAAGGCCCAAACGTTGTAATAAATATGGCGACAGAGATGAGGACAATAGTCCGAATAATGTAAATAGTGTACATAATACCTAATATCAGAAATATAGACAGATACTGAAAGGCCGAAACGTTGTAATAAATATGGCAACAAAGATGAGGACAATAGTCCGAATAATGTAAATAGTGTACATAATACCTCATCTGAGAAATATAGACAGATACTGAAAGGCCCAAACGTTGTAATAAATATGGCGACAGAGATGAGGACAATAGTCCGAATAATGTAAATAGTGTACATAATACCTCATCTGAGAAATATAGACAGATACTGAAAGGCCCAAACGTTGTAATAAATATGGCGACAGAGATGAGGACAATAGTCCGAATAATGTAAATAGTGTACATAATACCTCATCTCAGAAATAAAGACAGATACTGAAAGGCTGAAACGTTGTAATAAATATAGCGACAAAGATGAGGACAATAGTCCGAATAATGTAAATAGTGTACATAATACCTCATCTGAGAAATATAGACAGATACTGAAAGGCCCAAACGTTGTAATAAATATGGCGACAGAGATGAGGACAATAGTCCGAATAATGTAAATAGTGTACATAATACCTCATCTGAGAAATATAGACAGATACTGAAAGGCCCAAACGTTGTAATAAATATGGCGACAGAGATGAGGACAATAGTCCGAATAATGTAAATAGTGTACATAATACCTCATCTCAGAAATAAAGACAGATACTGAAAGGCTGAAACGTTGTAATAAATATAGCGACAAAGATGAGGACAATAGTCCGAATAATGTAAATAGTGTACATAATACCTCATCTGAGAAATATAGACAGATACTGAAAGGCCCAAACGTTGTAATAAATATGGCGACAGAGATGAGGACAATAGTCCGAATAATGTAAATAGTGTACATAATACCTCATCTGAGAAATATAGACAGATACTGAAAGGCTGAAACGTTGTAATAAATATGGCGACAGAGATGAGGACAATAGTCCGAATAATGTAAATAGTGTTCATAATACCTCATATCAGAAATATAGACAGATACTGAAAGGCCCAAACGTTGTAATAAATATGGCAACAAAGATGAGGACAATAGTCCGAATAATGTAAATAGTGTACATAATACCTCATCTCAGAAATAAAGACAGATACTAAAATATAAATGGTATTTTCTGTTGAGAATAACATAGACTGAACAAGTGAGGAACGAGGAAGTTTTAGGGAAAAGGAAATATAAAAGGACATTTACACTTAAAACAAGAGACAATAGACATTTCTAGAGCACAATTTATTTTGTACAAAATTTTATTTTATTTTATTTTTTTGTTTGTATTTTGGCGAAAATGATGTTTTAGTGATAGAAGTCTTACTAATTAACCCATAGCTGGGGGGAAAAGGTGGATTCATACCATTCCCAAGGGTATAAGTAAATATAACGAAATCAACAGGAACTCGGCTCTCCGATTAAGAATTCTGAGGCATTATCCATTACACCACCCGCACATCCAAGCTTACAGCACCTGGTATTGCTAAGTGGTCACTCATCTAGGTATTGAGGAGGTTAGACGTTGCTTAACTTCGGTGATCGTGTGGAACCCGTTTCAGCGTAATGTGGCAAGAGCCAAGTGAGATAGAAGAAAGTAGAGAATAACGTACCAATTTAGCTTTTCTTGGCAGAACAGAGAATAAAACAAGCATCCATAAAAGCTACAAAGGACGGGAAAATGTGGAGAACCATGATCACTCGACACGAAAAAGAAGAACAACGAAAAACAACTGTGGTGAGTTATATGGTATTGAATATAGTAAGAAAACCAACTTCATCATATCCTGTCGTGCGTATTTGTAGTCAGCACAGTAATAAGAGCAACGGGCAGTA